GCTAAATTTATTTTTCATTATGATTACAACTACTGTATAATTTATACATCAATATTATGCAACAAATTATGCTTAAAAACTATTTAAACATATTCTATAGAAGTAATAGTGATCTGAATATATAAACTATATATTAAGACATTTAAAATACATGTGTTCTGCCATCAAAATAAATTTCTTATACATTAGTATTATTTTAAACAAATTTTTATTTGTTTGTATGAAAAGGCTTTCGTTTCAATAGACCAAAGATAACAAGACTTCTCATTGAATATGAATTTTTTAAATGAATTATAAATATATTTATATGTTGTATAACATAATAGCGATTCCGGAATAATATTTACATTATTCACGTTTGAGCTCAAGATATGATATAATTATATATAAAAATACATTAATATATCATTTGTTAGTTTTCTCGGCAGATAATTAGTAAACGAAATGTTTGAAGAGACAAACCATTTGAATGACAATACTTTACGAAAACTACAGACAAATCCTTTTTTAGTACAAAACTTGTCGTGTAATGAGTATGGTGTTTTTTTATAAATCATACAATGATTATATGAACATTATAATGCCGTGTTTAATTGTTTATAAACTTATTAAGCAATAAAGTTTTAGTAAATCATCTAATTTAAATGTATATTACATGCGATTGTTTTGAGATATCCTTTAATTTATTACTTTCAAAAATAAGATATATATACATAAGAGACTAATGAGTTTAAAAATATCCTTTACCCTGTTTAATTAGTGGCGGGTACATCTTATACAGTATATCCGATATGTAATTATATTTGTCTAGGCAGTACATTTAAACAAGTAATCAACGAGTTAATTTAAAAAGCAATAAAATTTTATAGCCTTTCATTTTAATAAACTGTATAATAATGTGCGGCACATTATCTACTAACTATAATAATAAGTCTATTTTTAGTGGTTACCCCCTCTGTATTTATATGCCAATTACCAGGTTTTGCCAACTGTAGGGTCTCCGCGAGAGAATCTATTGTCAAATAAATGCTATAATTGTGTATATTTTCAGATATATTTGACATTTTATTAGCAAAATTTTTCAAAGCAACACATTTTGAAAATTTATTACCAAATTATTTTCCGACTCTATTGACCTCCCATACCATACACTGTATATTATATGCGTTTAGAGTGTCTGAGCCGGCACATAGTGTTTTGTCGTATAACATACAGTGTATAATAATATAATCGTAATGGTTATGTCTTCCGGTCATTATTAGTCTGACTGCGAAAAAAAATTTTGAGACAAAAAATTGTTAAATACTACTGAAAAACACTGAACACTTAGCACTCATTGTATGCCTCCAACGATATTAGTTATATAACACTCCGGTGTATAAGACTAATGCGATTTTCACTCAATGGCAACACAATGGGTTTGAAATTTTAAAACTCAAAGCAATCTTTATTTTCCATATGATTTCAAACACAATTAGTGTTTAATAACAGTCAGCACTCGTTATAATCACGTCCCCGGTATAGATGTGTACATATATTTGCGAGATAGTCATATGATAAGTGTGTAGTGAATGTGTAGGAAATCATAAATTTTTATATACTCTTTGGCTATGGATTGGCGATCATATGCCAGACATTTGCGAAAAACTTGTTAAATGAGCGCCGACTGTACGGCTAATATGTATCGCATAATCTGAAGTGTGAATACAAGCGAAGTGTTTCTAACAAATGAAGTCATTTGAACGCCTATTTTAAATATATATCTAATTTAGATATCATTTTCGTCTTTGACAACAAAAATAAAATATCATGTATATAAATATACAGTACCAGTGTATATTTTTTGTAGCCTTTTCTGTACAAACTGTTTAGCAAAATGTAAAAAAGTTTTGACATTTTTTTCGTTCACAAGAAATATGTCTGAAATTAATTTTCATTTCCCTTTCGCTTCAACAAAAATGTGAAAAATAAGACTAAAATTGTAATTATTTCGCTGTGATCTACAGGTGTTTATTATAATATTTGATGCGTTTATGTATTTAAATAAAATACCACTTTATCAAACACACCGGAGTCGTGCATGTATTCACTGCCTTTTTAATGGGGTTTTGAAAAGTTTGAAATATTTTCTCAGTTACTGAATGCGAAGTAGAAAAATGGTTACAAGTATTTGCAATATTGAATTCATTATTTATGGCTATTTTATTGTTTTTTGAAGGTTTAGTTTATTTTTGATTTGATGTTATGTTCATAAAATCAATTGCCAATCGATGCCACACAACACGATTACTTACGATATCATATTAATTATGATATTAAAACACAAATAAAATTTATACTGGGCTATATTTTTGTTGTTTTCAAACACAGTTGTAGTAGACTGATTGGTTGTATTTTTAATATACCTATAAATCATTTAATTATTGCCAATAATTTATTGGATAAAACATTAAATTTTAAAAATTTATTGAGATATTCATAATTATAAATTCAAGGAGATATTATGAAATTAATTAAATATTTCAAATAACAAGACTTTTAATAATAATCTCTTTGATTTTAATTATATTTAAATTATATATATTGAATAAATTATGAAATATAATTCAAATAAAATATTTGATAAAATCAAAAGTGAAAGCAAAATATATATTGTGTACCTATCCTTATTATTATATAATCTAACTCTATAAAGTTTATTTTAATATTTATAATAAACTAAATAAATTCCTATTAAAAATTAATTTTTTTTGGTTTATACAAACAAACTAAATAGATAATCTTATATTTTAAGTGAAGTTAATTTTTGTATGTTTATAAAAATATGGGTATTTATTTGATTTGGCTGATTAATATAGTAATTTACAATTAGGGTTTTAAATTTATTATTTATCTTAATTTGAAAAAAAAATTAATTTTAATAAATCTTATTTAATTGATTTTTAATTAAATAGTTAACTTTAAAATAATATTGTTTTAGAATTTCGATTTATTACTTTAATTTTACGATACTGTACTTACTAGTTAATGAAATATGGATAGACATTTACTTATTAAACTAGACTTATTAGAGTAGACAATTAATAAATCTGTATGCTATAATTAGAATTTTTTTTTAAATTATGGCAATTTAAATAAATTTAATATATTTAATCATTTGTTAGTACAGTATAACTATATGATGTGTAAATTATTAAACAGAATATTCTGTTAACATTTGTGTGATTAGCAATGAACATATATTTTATCTGTAATTTACACACTATATGTAAAACAAATATGAGTATAGTGTAGGAGGTTTAGAAGTAGTAGTTATAGTAAAAGCCTATTATTACCGATATATCATAGATACCATTCATTAAACTTTTGTTTTTTAAGAATGAAATTTATTTTTAGACTATATTTTACGCAAACGATTAAAACAAATATTATTTCAATGTATTACTGATTGTAAGCCACACATAAAAACTCTTTACTTTATTATAATAAGAATATCTGTTTGACTTTTGACTGCAAATACTTAAATATATGGTGTGTTATAAATACTTTGAACAAAAAAAGGTTAACTAATGTTATGTTAACAAAACAATACACAAAATGTATATTTATTTATAGTGTTTTAACTAAGAATTGAGTGATATTTGTGTTGTAATCGATATTATTTAGAGACAAAGAGCCGACTTTAAGACTCATTCACCGAAATCCGATATTTTTCTTATAATAATCTGTTTTCTCAATGTTTTTGCGAAACAATCTAATAATAAGTCTTAAGCCTAATATAGTAAACATCTATTTTCTTAATGTGAAACATTAGAAATTCAATTGTATAACATTTAAATGTCACTTAAAATTACTTTGTTGTACCTTATAGTAATTTGTATAATGTTAATTAAAAGTACTTCAAGTGTAAGTATTTCAGAGTATAATAAATTGTTTTTAAGTGCAAGTTAAGTAACTTTAAGTCACCATAATATGTGCAATACTTTTTGTAACAAATATTATTGTTTATGTATTCTGGATATTTTTGTAATCAATTTAATTTTTTTGATCCTAGAATAAAAATTAATATGTTACTATTTTTAGAAATGTTATTTATCTATTATTTATTTCTATAGAAATTGAATATTTTTGTGTAGGAGTTATTATGTATCCTGGTAATTTAATATTCTAATACCACATGGCATATTATAAATACTACCGCCTTCTTATATTAATTTAATATTCAGTTACATTTAATTTTATTTTAAAATCATTTTCAATGTATTTAAATAGAAATTTGTTTCAGTTATTAAATTTATTTTTAGAAATTTTATTATTTGACTAATACAGTATTGCAAAATAGTTATCACAAGAATATTGCATATTATCTTATTTTTGAAATTCAATAATCAGTATTATATCGACTGATTATAATTGATTATATAATATATACAAAATAATATCAAATGAAAGAAAGTTCTGTATTCCTTAATCTTAGCAAACATGATATAACATGTTGTTATGGTTTTTAGTTTTTAATTTTATAAAAATAATATTTTTGAAATATCCCTATTTCATTTTAATTTGAAACTGTTATACAATAATAATAAAAATAAGAATAAATGAAAATTTTAATAAAAGTTTTAATGATCTTTACAATTTAATATGAGTCTTAAAAGCATAACTCAACAGGAATTTGATGTAATTTGCACCCAATTGGACACCAAATTAACTCCTCTTGGCTTTGAGTGCTATCCGTTTAAAGTATTCAATTATGTTAATAGTTTTAATCTTGTATTCACCTAATAATCATAACAATATTATTGAATACCAGGTCAAATGGTATAACCAAATGGTGTCTCAAGAGTTTCATCTGCCATATGATGGCAATTGTTTATCGTTTACGATCATCAGTACACCCGATATGTTTGAAAAGGCATTCATACCATACATTCAAATGCAAAACAGTGTCGAAATCAAAGATCCTATCAATGAATGCATGAAATATTACTTAAATACTCTTAAAGAGGTATTTAAAAATACTATACAAACAGAATATCCCTGCTACATTTTGTTTATACGACTGGTGAAATGAAATCCAGATATTCTCGGGTCACTGTCTGGAAGTAATACACGATTTTGATCTCCAAATGCCTAATAGACGGCCCAAAGTGTTGGCCCAAACGGCGGCTCATGTTTCGGGCGCTGCTTTCTATTACTCGCCGGACGTTATCAGCGACATCAGGGACATCAGGGGCACCGTTAGCTCAGACAACAGGCGTCTCCTCGGATATTGCATTCATCCGCAATACGGCGGTTGGTTTGCCATCAGAGGTGTCCTCATATTCAGCGATACGACGACTGAATCGCTTCGTCAGAGACAACCCCGGGATGTCTTACAGAGCGTTGAACTGAAGAGAAAGTTATTGATAGCGTTTAACACCAATTGGAGGGACTGGAGCTCCTATAGGGATATCATTGCTGTGCGTAAAAAGTATAGCGATTTGCAGATTAAGTACTTCCAGAGCGATGCCAGCGATAGGAAGGCACTCATTAAGACGTTAATTGATTGTCACAAATAGCAAAAACAATTTTGTTTTAATTTTGTTTGTATTTTAATACTAAATATAAGTTTTATAAATTCATATAATTTTCGGCCAAAAGCTAGATTTTGCTCAATATTTTTATGTTTAAAATTTGTGCAAAATTATATATTTAGGATTGTATTAAAGGAGTTATTACTACATTATTAAATTAATAGATAATATTTGAAAGGATTAACATAACTGCACATTATATACTGTATAACTTATATATATTTAATATATCAGTGTAAGAAATTTAAAATAAATGTGAAGAAATATTACCGGAAAGTTAAAAAGGATTGATTATGCGTATAGATAACAAATAATATATGCTACTTAAGTACAACTTTATAAACTTATTGTCTATTTTCATAATCTTCTTCCCATTATTTCTGTCATTTATTTGAAAGTTCCTCCACTGATATGCTGTAACTGTAAACATAGCTTTAAAATAATGAATGAGTCCAAAGACACTATTCTTACGATTAACTCTTAAAGTCAATCAATAGCTTTAAAAAATTTGTTGTGAAATATGTGTTAATATGTCTGTCAAGAAAGTGTGTGTTTTAGGACTTCTTTCATTTGTTTGACTGACTTTTCATATAATATTGATATTTTGTAACACATTTCACACCATTTATACCAAACAAATGTCAGATAAATCGGGGGTTTCGACAGAATTGTTGTCAATTAACAGAACAACTGATAGGCCAGTGATCTACTAATGCATGTCTCGTGGAGTTTACAGTCTTGGACTCAAAATTATATTTTTAAATGTTTTTATAAATTATATCTCTAAATTTGATTTAAATTTAATATTAATTTCAAGTCTTATAAATTTTACTAATTATAAAAACATAAAGTACTTTAAAATCCATTTGTTACTTCAATTGTGAATAGTATTTTTCAAATTAGATATAATTTTAAAGAAATTAATATCAAATGTCTAAAAGTGTGTATAATCTACTGTTTATATAATTAACTCAAATTTTCTAGAAATTGAGTAAAATATTAGACGTAATGAAATGGCAGTTAAATTCACATCAAAGTATATATTTACGTCATGTAATGCTATAAATAAAATTTATATGAATTGTTTGCAATATTATCAAAATTGAGTTAAATTTACATTTTCTTACAGTATATAAAAAAGTTTTTTAAATTTTCCAAAACAAATCTTATAATCATAACAGAGTGTAAATAAGTATTAAATATTAAATGCATTATAATTTATAAATAATGTTGTCCTATGAAATTAAATGCAATTTTCCACTAATAAACAAATTTTGCAATTTTTGAGCTAAAATCAAATTAAAACTCAACTTTTATTTTTATTGAGAAAATATTTCATGTGTGAAAAGTGATAAATAACTCATTTGTCTATCCATACTATCTGTACCTAAAGTACCTTTCCCGTACATCCCGTATATACTTATATTTACAGTTTTCTAAATACATTATTTTTAATATAGATTTATTTAATATGTGCAAAAACCACTATATCATATTATAAATATAGTATTTATGATGATATTATTAAGTGTTTATTAAATATTTAAGTGTAATAAATAGTAATTCTTTAAATATTTAAGAATAATATAACTGGTTATTACATAAGTATAAATAATTTACACATAAAATAACCTTTAGCTTAAATTTTTTTAAATAGAAACTAATAATAGTTATATCTCTAATAACATATTGCATTCAAATAAATATAATTAAAATACTTAATGTTGTTATTTATTTTAAATTAGGTGAGACTTACAGAAATAATTAGAAACTAAAATCATATTTAAAATAGATTAATTTGCATAATAACTAATAATTCCTAATTTACAATTAACACTATATTTTGTTTTAAATTTAATAGCTTAAGAATTGAGGGTTTATTGTATTTCACCACTTAATTCAGTTGAAATTAATAAGCCTTTGAAAAAAGTGGAAATATTTGTGACTATGAGAGAGAGAGAGAGAGAGAGAGA